ACGGTCAGTTAGTTCGTGTTAAAACTAATTTGAATGGAGAGTAATGCATTTGTTGTCATTAAACTACCCGTCGGCTGCGCCACTGAGTAAAGATAGTCTCGCGTAAGCAGTGTAGAAAAGTAAGTGATACGCCCATTTCAAAACGCAGTGTGCTTGAACTGCTAAAACAGCCTTAAGTAGAGGTAATGGATTTTCTAAAGAGCTATGAGCCATATCAACGCAGAACACGAGTTCGAACACAAAAGTTTACGTCTGAAATAAGTTGTACTAAGCATCCTAATAATGTGAGTAAGATAGGATAAGGAAGGCACAAAGAGCGATGGAGAGACAAATGTTGGGTGTATCACTTAAGTGGGTGATCGACGAACGAGCCATAATACCGCGGTTTTAAGATCGACGGTTTTACTCGCGGCTCGTTGGTGCTGATCGACTAGCGAGTAAAATAGTCGTGTCAACCGTCTACAGCCAACATATCGTGTTCAATTGAAGTTTTTGTATTACCTCGCTATAGCATACTACATGTGTTCACTTCAACGGTCGCCAAAAACTGCCGGTTTGGCTCGCCACCCCTGATACACGCGCGGTTTTAAACGACGAGCCAAGTAAAAAATAAAACAAACTGACGAGCCGCGAGTCAGGCTCGTAGGTATATAAAACCGCGGTATTGCAATGATACACTGAGGAGCTTTACCGACGAGCCACAAAACCGCAGTTTTACTCGCCTGTCGATCAGGGCCTTTAGAGATAGAAAACGTAACCAGTGGATCAGAACCAGAACAAAGACAGTAGACGCGATAGAACAAGCAGCAAAACTGAAATGGAAATGGGCTGGACACAATGAACGTCTCCAAGACGGACGATGGAACAATGCCATCGGAAAGTGGCGTCCATACAATGCAAAGAGATCAAGAGGCAGACCACAGATGAGGTGGAAAGATGACATCAGGAAACAAGGAGGTCCCACATGGCAGAGAACAGCTCAAGATAGGGAAAGATGGAGAGAACTGGGGGAGACCTATATCCAACAATGGAAGGATAGAGAATAGGTTCAAAAAAAAAGCATCCTAAAAGTTTCAGCCGTTAAATTTTATTCTTTTGGCAGTTTTTTGTTTGGGTTGTGTCTACTCCAAATATTTTAATATTGCAGTAACATTTATTTCTTTTTAAACGAATTATTATAGTTTTCAGTTTTAATTGTTAGTTTAGTAACTTATAGACAAAAACTTTTAAAAATATTTTGTTAAGTGAATCATTTATTGGAAAGTAAGGTCTGTATATATTTTATTACATTTTTAATTAACTAAACTTTGATTAATGGTATTTTGTTAACTTTAATAATAAAAATGTTTTTAAACGGTAGGTATATGAAATCTGATCAAAAAGCCTTTGTGGTTAACTAATTTCAGTTGTTACAGCAAAGATGTGGAAAATGAGTAATTCCAGAAAAGTTCTTTATAGACAAGGACGACAGATTATACACAGTGTATAATAGTTTATGAAAAAAAGAAAAGAATTTGAATTTTTAACTATCCCTATGATTTCCAAGAAAGGGTGGCTAAAGCTTATGATGTTTCTGTCAACACGGTGAAACGTATTGTTCAAGAATTGTATATACAATCTGCTGGTAAACGCTTTAAATCACCTCGAAAAACTATTAACAAACCTTCAACTTATAAAGGGCCCCTTAACAAGTTTAAAGAGGAAATAATTCGAAGCATCATTTATTCTTACACTGCAATCTACAAAAGAAGACCTACTTTAGCTAAAGTACCTATGGTAGTCAAAGGTCAAAAGCTTATTAATGTTCATGCTGGGGGTGAAGCAGTATTTGTGCTGGGGAATTTACCATTTTTAAATCGGCGACAAAAAGCGAAGACTACCACGACGAAACGAATAGCACCAATTTTATAAAATGGTTGAAAGAAAAATTCATTCCTAATACTCCGAAAAAAAGCCATTCCTAGAATCAGTTCCAAATTTTTCCTGGAAGAAAGATGCACTGTTGAAACGACCTGCTCGACGAAATATTTTTCATCCGGCAAAAGCTAAGCGAGGTCGAACTATTTACAATTATAAAAATGCACAAGCCATTTTGTAAAACATATTTAATTAATAAAATTCTAGAGTAACATGATCTATTAATGTTGCGTCCACCACCTTATCATCCGAAGCTAAATCCTATTGAAAAAAGATGGGCATTGGTAAAAAAACAAAGTTGTTGTCTGCTACGTAACTTTTAAATTAGATTGGAAGTGTTAGACTTTTAAATAATCTTTAATTACCTCAAATCAGGTAATTAAAAGGTAAAAAAATTACCTTTTTTCTCAGACACATACAAGCTTTTCCAAGATATGGAAAGTAATAGAGCTCATAATGACCCTTAAACCTGGAAAGTAACCAAATATAAGTATTATCGTTCTTTTCAACAAAGTAATTCAACTCTCGACCAAGCCCATAGAATAACGGATATAATAGAGAGGCCACTAGAAGAAAAGAAAGTTTGGTCCGCTATATTTTAATAAAGTATAGCACGAAGGACTTTAATATAATTTAAGCAGTATTTGCCAAGTTAATAAACAGGATTATTGGAATAATATATTTTAGTTAGTGTTTATAGGACTAAACAAGAAGAAGCCTATTCAGAATTAAAAGAAATCAATGCAGGTGTACCACAAGGTAGTGTGATAGCACCAGTCCTGTAATTAAATTAATCTTCTCTAAAGAAATGTCTGTGTATACATATGTCGGACTTTTTAGGTTTTTACGTTAACATTCCATTGTTGCCAGTTAGACCTATGCAACTATTTACAACGTCATATCTCTTTAGAAAATCCATTACCTCTACCTGTCAAAGCCAGTGTATTTACTAAATATATTTCAGGTAGCAGTGTGGAAATATCTATAGGGTCAAACAACTCGTTTGACCAATATAATTCGTTATTCTAAACCACACAATACGAAACCTTACCAAACTAAGCAAAAAATACAGAATATCATTATCCAAATAACTAAACTTACTAACATTTTCTTTATTGGCATTTTAAAAGTTGAATAATGTATGTTTTCAGAAATCGTCTATTTCGTCGCGTTATTCTCTGTCTTTTTTTCAAAATTGATCAGGTATACAGTTAAATTCAGGTTTCTGATACATTAACACATATTTAACACCTATCACTTAAAATTTGTAATGTGCTCTAGTCCACAAAAGCCGTTAGTCCTAATTTAAAATATCACATGGCGTAATTTATGGAAACATCGATTTTGCCACAGACTATTTGCTACTTATCCGTTTTTCTACAGAATGGTGTATTGAGTACATTTCTGAGGTAGAATAAGTTCGAAGTTAGTCCAACCTATACCTACTGGGTATACTTTTTGGCTACATTATGATACAAATCAAATGTAAAATATTTCCGTTGCAATCTGTGTTAACCATGTAGCACTTTATCGCGGATGGAATGTGAAGTAACTGAATGGAATAAAAAAATTTTCTTACATTCTCATTTGAGTAGATTATTACTAAAAGAAGTAACACATCCCTGACACCTGACGTATAGCATGTATACATCGGCCTCAGTCGGTGGTCTTCAATCAAAGCCGTACGGGTATTGCATTAGCGTTACGGCGTACGTCGCATCTGTATATTTGTCATCGAGCAAAAAGACAAAAGAGAGAACGTAAATGTAGTGGAGGCAAAAGTATCGTTAGACAGGAACTGCCATCTTGAGAGGCCACATTAAACAAGGAAAGATAATCTTTCCTTGTTTAAGAAATCAAATTTAGTTGGGTTATGTTATTGTTTGTCCCAAGTGTCACATGAAAGCTTATTTATATTGAAGTTTTTTAACAATGTGTGTATCATTTTAGATTGTTATCGTTAATATTTATTTAAAGTTTCTCGTCTAAGACACATTCTGAAAACTATTTGATAGCTACTGTTAATAAGTTTCGGACAATTTAAATTTGGCGCATTCGCATTTCCGGATATATCCGCCATCAGAGGCCACTTTTTTGATCTCCTTTTCATAACGATTAGATTCCCTCTTTTGTCTTTCTGCTCGATGATATTTGTACAGCAGGTTCATGTTGCATTCAGCGTACAATACGAGACTGCATCCAGTATTTATTATATCAAGCATAGAAACGTGAAGTATAACGTAACGCTATACGTGGTGTACGGCGTTTATTGGAGACCACTGCCTAAAAAGAACGCAGTAGGTTAATTTTAAAGCTTTTTTCATATTCATTACGATTTATTACGTGTTGTTTACATTGTATTTCATTTGTTTGTTATGATAAGTTTTATCTTAAAAAAAGTGGATGTTCACTAATTTTATTGATTAATAGTTCTTCATCCATTTTATTTTATTTAATTTTATTTTGTATTGGAAATAAATAATCTGAACTTGCTTTGTGCGCATGGCGCGTTTTCGTAAACACTCCATTGAATAGTGGAGGAGTCTGCGAAGACAGAAAAAATCGATATGTTGGCCTAATCCAAGCGCTTCCGTTCGATTCTGATTCATTCCATATTCCATTCAGTAGTGAGCAGTCTACTTATAGACCAGAGGAATTAGTACCTAAATAAAAAGCCTTTTTTGTGACACTGTTTATTAATACATGTATTTATTCCAGTGGTAACAACTACATTTGATCAATCAAAATTTTAGTTACATTCTACTTCGATCCGCGATAAGGTGCCATGTGCTTTTTACTTTTTTCGGTTTATTTGAAATAAAATATAATTTGTCAATTTTTGAGTTGTAATTAATTTGTAGTGCCCAATTAACGACAGTTTGTGATTTTAACAAAAAGAAGACAAATATTTTATAACATATTGATAGATCTAGGTGCTTACAACAAACTATTATTTGGAAAGAAACATTTTTACCATAATATGTATATCATTATGTAGTATCCTCGAAATTATATACATCCAGCAATACACAATGATATAAAACATGTCGATTTAATATAAATTCAAAATAAACACATAAAATAAGTTAAATTAACCTCAAATTTTTATTATACACAAAAAAACACTTAATTGCCATATCCACCCCACAAAACTTAGTCAAAATAAAGTGTATCGGAAATATTTTACATCCAAACTTATCTCAATTCGTTGTTTAACATCCCATATCAGTAAAGTATTTATATCATTTAATTCAGCGCACAGGATGATATTCAGGGAATCCCTTTTGGACCGGGATCATCTGGACTAGGACTGTCGTTTCTTCTGGATCGAACTCTGACTACTTGTCGGTGGGTATTTTCTTCATTTTGTGGCGTCAGAGTACTGGCTCCATAGTTTAAGTCCTGACCAGAAGAGGCGAGTCTAACTTTTTCGGAGCTGTTGTCTTCTTTAACAGTGAATAAAAGTCCCAAGTTTAGTTGCGGAATGTCGTAGAATACTGCTAGTGTTAACATCATTATGGTTATGCCCATGAAAAGGTAACCTAAAAAAGGAAATTTGTAATGAGACTTAATTTAATATAATCTAAAAATATTTATTTCATGGTTTAGGTGTTAAAAATGAAATGTTTTAGATTTTAAAGGTCTTATGATATTTACAGATGTTAAAAATTCATTTGAAAATTTTCATATATTGATCTTTTTTTTAATATTCAGTCCTTCACCTTTTGAGATGGTTGCGTCGATGGTTGTGACAGTGTCATCGTTTCTTCGAAAAAGAATCCCAATTTTCGTGTTGACGTTCTTAATCTTGTTTATATTTTCAATTCAAATCCGTAAAGGTAGAGAATATAATCTTCTTCATGAAGAGGGTTTTGACCCACAAACGTATATATTTGAGAAAAGCATGCTGCTGTTGTTTTGTCGACTACATCGTAGAAAAACAAAGTTGAAAAGGATGTTGGACTTTAGAAAATAAAGTTTCTAAATGTAAGTTAGAGCCACAGCCGAAGTTTGAAGAGAGTGATTCTATTCGAGTTAAAATCCCAACTTTTGACGAAATAACTAAAAAAAAACAGTTCCAATCAGCTGCAAGAGCGAATGGACGATCAAAAAAGAAAAGGCTAAACGTGACTGTTGCTCTTCGAGGGATGTGCTTCAGACCATTTGTTTTCGGTGTCGTGGAGGAGACAGTTGATTTCGAAGACAGATGCTCATAAACACTTGCAGCACGTCTACTAGTCACACCTTAAAAACCGAAGATAAAAGAGAGATGAGGCTCTTCAATAATATGAAGTAGATATTGTCAGGCTAGTACGATATGTTTATGAAACAACTCCCTAGGGCACAATGGAAAAGTTAGCTATTCAAACATATATTGATGGTTTTCGTGATTATAAAATGCAGAGAAAACTGCGATTAGCTCGTCACAAGACGCTGGTCGATGTCTTGTCCGTCACCCTTAATATGAATCACCTAAGCAGGCCTCTGATAGTAAAGTTAGAACTGTACAAGAGGAAAAAGTCTGATGAAAGGCATTACATAAAATACAACGAAGACCATAATATGCTGACCATAAGTGCTAACCAAGTGTTATAATGCTCACGACAATCTTCTCACTGATACTTAATTTCTTGTATAATTTCTCAGACCAAGAGCACGAAACTGGAAAAAAAAGGGGAAGAATAGGAGAGAATGCAGACTTATCTTGGAGCAGGCCAAGACCCACTATGGGTTGTGGAGCCAATGATGATGATGATGATTTATGTGAAAACAGCTATTTCACATTTTCATTATTTTCATTAAATGCAGCAACACATTCAGGTCAAGGATAGGCTTATCATTAGTAGATTCGCTTCTTTGTAGACAATTTTTACGTTAGAGAAACACAGTTGTATGCTAATAACTAAAGGTTTAATATTTTCGTATAAATCTTCATAGGGTTACTATCTTCAACTGCCAAAAACTCAATAATAGTACACATATTATTTTTAAATAGATTTTCGACTATATGTTTTTGTATTTTAGCAACAATACTTAGAAAATTGAGAACTAAATGTAAATATTTTTGACATATGGGTCACTAGTTCTTAGGTATACAAATATAAAATTCAAATCGTTGTTGCCATGGCGATCAACTCACTGATACCCCTATAGAACGTCATCATTGAACAGTCCTAGTAAATCATTAAATCATCACTTGCGAATTATCTTGTGACTATGTATACTGCCACCAAACAGCAACAATAGAAATAGATCACAAAATATCCGAAGTCATACGAGTAAGACGAGGTGTGCGACAAGATTTCATCTGATCACCACTATTATTTAATCTTTATTCGGAATATATATTCAGAGAAACGTTAGAAGAGGTCCAATGTTTAATTAAGAAAAACAGAACTAGCATAAATAACATCAGGTACGTCTGATGATACTGTTCTAATAGTAACCAATGCACAAGAAATGCAAAATATATTAAATTAGGTAGTTCGTCATAGCCAAATGTTCGGTTTAAGTCTAAATAGTATTTTTCAAACTAAAATTCGAGTATTTGAACATGAACACACTTTTTACATCAGACAGTCTGGAGGTGACAATCCAAATGATCAGTTCCGTAATGTTCCGTTTTTTCTGTTTTGCTCTATGGCTATAAAAATTGCCAGATGCCTTCTGAAACAGAAGAAAGAATGAATGCCTTTAAAATCTATGTATACAGATAGATGCTAATAATTCCAAAGACAGGAAAATACAATATTTGGGTCATGTGTGAAAGAAGTGAAAGATTTGAATGACTCCGAATCATATTAGAAGGTAAAGTACAGGGCAAAAAATCAGTAGCAAGACGCCATAACTCATGACTGAAGAACCTGAGGAGATGGTTTGACGGCCCATCCACTGAAATCTTCCATGCAGCAATATCCAAAGCTATAATTATCATTTGGATTGCCAACCTTCGAAAAAAAAATGGAGCAATAACAGGAAGTAAATAATTATTAAATATAACGAATAAACTTTTATGATTAGTAACAACTGTATCATTTTCTGGGAAAAAGTTGATTGTAAACTATTTAGTTCTCATTCTTGAATAATGTCAACATAACACTTGACATATCAAAGTCTCTGATAACTAATATCTGCTATTACTTAAGTTCAACTGATTCAGTAAAAGACGCAATAATGTAGAAGATTATAAACTAAATATTTGAACGGTTTTTATACAACTTGTTTATCTTTTTCGAATTTGTTGTTTTTAAAACGCATCTTGGGGTAGTAAGTGTTTTAACATAATTATTTTATATATGCATCATATTTTAGTACACACAAATTTATTCTTCTCCTTCTAGTTCCATGACATATCAATCGTTGGATATTCTGTTGGCTACCATAGTACAGTTGGCACAGATAGAATAAAGAAAACTCAAAGAGCTATGAAAAGACAAATGTTCGGAAGATCGTTGAGAGATAAAAAGAGGAACGAGTGGATAAGATGCAAAACCGAAACAACAGACGCTTTCGAACATGCATTGAAATTAAAATGGAAATGGGCTGGGCATAATGAAAGATATCAGGATGGAAGATGGAATAAAGAAATTGGCCGCTGGAGACCATATACTGCAAAAAGGTCAAGAGGTCGACCTCAAATGAGATGGAAAGATGACATTGAGCAAAGCGCAGGTCCAATGTGGAAAAGACAAACAGAAGACAGACACAAATCTAGGCAAATGGGAGAGGCCTATATTCAACACATAAATAGATTTTGGGCTATAGATAGATAGATAGACCATAGTCGTTATCGCGTCTTATATTGTTAGATTTTTCAGCCATGATGTTCTTCTTCTACCCGGACCACGTTTACCTTATATCTTTCCCCAAATGATCAGATGCAAAGGTTTATCTTTTTCAGGGCGTCTCATAATGTGATTAAAGTATTCCAGCTTACGTCTATTTATTATATTGGCCAGTTTTGTTGTTTAGTTCAGACGTCTAAGGGCTTCCTCATTTCTAACTCTGTCGATCTAGCTTATTCTTAGTAGTGCTCTGTATGCCCACATTTCAAAGGCTCTCAAGCGTTTAAGCATAGCTTCACTTAGAGTCCACGCTTCCACTCCATACAGTAGCACTGGAAAGATATAGCGATATGTTATTTTATTGCGAAGATTAATACTAAGATCCTGGCTGCAAAGTACGTTTCTTATTTTTAAATTTATATTTATCGTATGACATACAATAAGAACACACAATTAAAAAAATCAATATAAAAACGTTACATGAAGTATTACAAACGAACATCTAATGTATTATTATTATAATGTAAAACATTTTCGGTCGCATTCAGGAACTCATCGAAAACTCCACGGAATCGCCTTCGGGGACATTCTTCAACAATGTGACGGACGGTCTGTCGTTGCGCACCACAGTCACACTCAGGAGTAAGGGCTTTTCCCCATCTATATAAGCTGTCAGCACATCTACCGCTGCTTGTTCTTATTCTGTTTAGCGTTGTCCATGTATTGCGGGTCAGTTCAAAGCCTAGCGGTTTCTGATCGATACAGGCCATTTGATGTGCTTCCTGTGGTGAGTCGCTCTCCCATTGTGTTCTCCAAGCTTTGGTTAGGTTGAAATGTTCCTGATGTAAGGAGTTGGCTCTTAGCAATGGAGGATATCTGGAGCGCAGTCTGTTTATTTCGATATCAAGCTTATCTTGGTGTATAGGTAGTTGATGGTTAGCCTCAATTTTTCGATATTCTCTGAGAAGAAAATGACTTCTTCGCAGTTTCGGCGGTGGAATGTGACTCAGAATGGGAAGCCAATAGTTCGGTGTGGGTCTAATTGTACCTGAGATCATTCGCATTGTCTAGTTTAATTGAGTGTCAATAATCTTTGTGTGTTTGCTATTGAGCCATACCGGGGAAGCATATTCAGCCACCGAGTATACAAGTCCGAGAGCGGATGATCTGAGTACGGAGGCTGAAGACCCCATGTAGTGCCACATAGCTTTTGGACTATATTATTTCTCGTTTTCAACTTTGCTGTCGTTCTTTGAAGATGTTCTTTAAAACTCAATGTTCTGTCCAGAGTCACTCCAAGATATTTTGGTGTTGAGTTATGAGTGAGCAGTCTGTTTTCGAAGTGGATGGAGAGTTTTTTGTTGGCTTGGGCATTATTCAGATGGAAACAGCACACTTCGGTTTTTGTTGCATTAGGCCGTAGCCTCCATTTGCGAAAGTATTCTCCCATAATGGCAAGGTCATCCGCTAATATTGTTTCTGTGATATTCATGTTATTATGTCTTGCTGCAATTGCCCAATCGTCAGCGTAGCCAAATTTCTGCGAAGTTGTCCTAGGTAGGTCCGCGATATATAAATTGAACAGTAAGGGTGCCAAAACAGATCCCTGTGGCAGTCCATTGCTGAGCTTCATTTGGGAGCTTTTAATATTGTCTATAGTGACTTGAAAAGGTCTGTCGGTGAGCATGTTATCAATGAGTTTAGTTACCTTTTGACACGGGACGGCATGGATTAGCTTGCAGATTAGTCCTTGTCTC